CAACAAACGGCTCGCGATTTCGTTTAGTAACGAAGGAGATATGGCCAAAATACCGGGACTGCGCCAGTGGTGGCGATCTCCTCGGGATTGGCTATGTTTCCTCACCAAATTCATATCATTTCATCCCAAATACTTACCATAAACTTTTTAACAAATTTAAGGAACATCCGGAAGGTATCGTAGAGAAAGTTCGGCGTTGGAACGTTGAAGTTAGTGAGTTAATCGTCGGAATCATGTTCATCGACATACCCGAAATTCTGGACAGCAACTATCCCTTGACTTCAGGTCCGATTTACGCTATCTTACATATGTTAAAACGAAATACTTTCTATACGAAAGTTGTAGCCTTACATCTTAGGAATCCAAAGAATCAAACGGTTTGCAATTCCGTGAAGAAACGATGGAGATATGCCGAAATTACCGCAGGCTGTCCAGTTGTGACGGGAATGACAAAGTTGGTGAATTTCGATGTTGTTTCCACTCCCGCTCATCCGTAAGGTTTCGGCCGATGATTTCCAGGTCTGTACCTTTGCGTTAGACTTGTCGAATCATTCATCACATATGTACATGAACATATATATTAATCCATATGTTGAAATCATCCCAAAATATATATGTGATGCATATATATAAGTTATCTATATGTTGTGATTAAAATACACCAAATCCATAAAGTTAGTATACACATAAGTAGGTATAAACTTTGAAAATCAACCCAACAATATGTATATGTTAATCAAAGGTGTTTAAAAGACTTAAAGACGTATTTTGGACACTCAAAATATCAAGAGAAAGATTCGCAGACCCAAACGGTCGACGCAAACGGTCGACCGTCGCGTTAAACTTCGAGACGAACCAGGACTGTCACCCAAACGGTCGACCGCCGACTGCTGACGGTCGACCGCCGCCGCCCAGCCGAGGACCGCCGTACCAGTCAGACAACAACGGTCGACCGTCGGTCAACCGCGATCGACCGCCACAGTGATCCGAGATTGACGAAATGATTTTAAGCATGGTCGACCGCCGTGCTAAACGGTCGACCGTTCCGAGCCCCGTAGCTTATTTAACTGATATTTTAATCATGTTTTACCCAAATAAATTAATGTATGATTACATATTCAAAATGTTCATAAATTGTTCACATCATATCATTCATTTCATCATTTATATTGAAGCATATCACATCATGTGCATGCGTAAGAGATCATGCGTAGTGCGTCTCTTATAGCGTGATTGTGCGGGACTTAGTACTCCGACATCACAAGTTCGGGCTTAGTGTACGTACATGGTATTCAGGTCTCTGGGTACCACCCCTATTTTTCTAGTCTCACCTCATTCGTGAGACTAAGGCCGCGTGAGTTCGTCGTACCAAATGGGCGAATCTCATAGCGCAAAGGTGTCCTTGCAAGTTATAGGATCATACATCATGTTATCATCAAGAACAATTACATTGATTACATAGGTGTCATGTAATCATCATCAAGCGAAAGTATATTGATTACATAGGTATCATGTAATCGTCCTCACAAGAAAATTGATTAAATGTGCCATCATGTAATTATCATTAAATATTTATCATCATGATTCATCAAATTGACCATATGATAATATGTGCCATATCATGAATGTTACTATACATTTTGTGGACGTATATATATGTATATGTATATGTCTTTGAATTATTCTACAATTCTAGCGTGGTACCACTCAGCGGTTTCGCTGAGCGTGTAGTTTGTATTTTTCGTTGACTACACGTAGGTAACCAGAAGACAATGATGGAACCTTTCCCGGAGGGCATTGAGTCAGAAGAGATGCAAGGATGTCAGGCAATGTTTGGTTAACAGATTTTAAAATGTGTCATGATTTGATTATTATTGTACTTCCGCATTACTCTGAAATTATTTTTAAATGGGTCGCGATCCAGAGTCTGTAAATTTAATATTTTTAAGTAATTGTCATTTTCAAGTGTCAAGTGAAATTTTTATTTAACTCACGTTTCACCTTAATTCGTGTAATTCCGGGTTATACGGATTGGGGTGTTACATTTTGGTATCAGAGCAAAACGTTTTTCGGATCATTGAGTCAATATTTTCAAAGTCCTGCATCCGCATCCTCCACGACATCTCTGCCCCGGGAAGGTAATCAACAAGTAAGTTACTATGGCATAACACACATGCTTAACTCATTGAAAATTTGCTTCCTTTGAGTTGCTAGTATCCTCATAGACTCGATTACAACAAAGTTTAGATTGCCTCGAAATGTTCTTCGGCGATCAAAGTTTAGGACGAATATTTACATGGTACATATTGATGTTGGAAATAAATACTCTTCTGAAATGCACTGGTCATGCAGCTTAGAACGATATTTATGACCAACACATAATGTACATGGACAATATTATTTCAACATTGGAAATATTACAGATGCAACTCTAAGTCTAATCTTCCAGGATTTGCAAACTCTTCATAACTGGCACCAGGACCCGGGAAAGCATTAGAAAACTCTAGCTTGTCCAACAGCTCATCAACAAAGAAAGAAGAAATGAACAGTTTTCTCTGATTCAAAGCCATGAAGTTCTGCCTCACCGCATCATCTAGAAACTTGATTAGGTTATTGAAATAACTGTCAATGTTCAAAAGACCAATGGGTTTACTGTGTAACCCTTCTGATGCCCATGAGATCAAAGTGAATAAACCTTCCATAGTGTCAATCCCTCCAGGAAGTACAATGAAGGCTTCCACAATATGATTCATCTCGAAATACTTATAGTAATTGCTGGAGACGGTGTACTCCGCACCATATGTTGGTCCATAGACCCCTCGTGTTGCTATATACCCTGGTATGAAACCTCTGACTCTACCACCATTATTATAGACTGTTGAAGCTACAGCTCCTTAAAGGCCAACGTTGCCTCCTCCGTAGGTAAGCCTGATTTTTCGCCTTACCATTTCCCGTCCTAGATCAACCGCTGTAGCCATGCACCTTGGATTGCTACCAAGAGCATGACTACCAAGTAGACCAACGAATCTTATGGTATTAGAAAGAGCTCGAGAAGTTCCTTCCATAATGTGAGAATGTGAGACGCTCTTGCCATAATTCGATATATATAGACTCTGAAACTGGACCATTGATGGAAAAGTAATTATCACCAGCCTAAAAGCGTACAGGAAAGTGGATTCGTTCCAGACAAGAATGTACTCACCAATACTATAGTCTGCTGACGACATGACATATTGAGACTCGCGAATAGTTAGGCTCATTGTTCTGAAATATGTTCAATTCCGACGAAAAGTCAAAATGGCTATTTACCTAAGATAATGACCCCTTGAGTAACTTCCAAAGAGTGAAACATTAAAGGATGAAAACCTACTATTTGCCACAATAATTCACAAATGCTATATTCATATCATGTGACGATGACGTGTTAAAAATGGCCCCGACAAAGTATCAAACACAACATCATGGCCCCCTCCCACATCTAAAAGCGTGGGAGTATGGTGACAGAGCAAGATTCTGTAAGCGCAAGAAGCCAAAACAGCAGAGTCTAGAGAATATTGTATAGTAGTCCCGTGGCTCGTTGAACATTTGCGTTGTTGAGCATCGACGACATTACCAACCCCTTTGGAGCCGAAACGGCCCATCGGGAGGGATAAGGCAAAAATGGTGTCATCGTCACACACAACTTCATCCGATGTGTAACTATCAACAACCTCGTGTCCACCATGATCGTCATCAACGAGGTACAGTTGGAGAAGATTCAGCCAAACAAAAAACCGTCGATGAGTAACTAAGGCTGGAGCGTGAACGCAACAAGTTAAAGAGTACGACATTATGATGTCAAGTGCTTATCATTGTGAACTCTAGAGCATGCAATTGTTCTAAGGGATGATAAGTTCTACACCTTTAGCTTAAGACAAATTCTTCCGCAAACCTAATATTCATACTTCTTTTATGGACCATAGTGCCTTTGTAGCTTAAAAAAGTGAATCTTTTGCAAAAAAAATCCACATATAAACCCATAAAAATGTGAAAAAAACCATATCTTGAATGTGGATCTTTAGATATACAAGTAACACTCTTAGTCTAGTTCACCAACCATCCTATTTTATGACTTGTTTGAATTTACAATAGGTGATTGAACTTATTTTTCATCCAATTTATAAGATGATTGGAGTAAAATTAAAAAATATCATTTTAGTAATAAAAAATTACATCAAAAGCTTTACAAGATATGTAATTAGTAGTAACATGGCTATTTTATTTGATCAAATGACTAACAAAAGTGAATAAAAAACTGAACAGAATTTAACACTGTAAATAGTGCACAAGTAATTTAATATGGGACAAAGAGTAATATTTTATTCATTCGACATAGAACGCTAATTTGGGAATGGAGTATTAGTCAGTATATATGAGAAACTCAAGGGCGAGCCACTCTAATGATGCCTCCACTCTAATCTTGCCCAGAATCACGTACTAAAACTTATAGTGAGTAAGAAATTTATACTTTTCTCTGTAAGCGGTAAAAACGAAGAGGTCGTAGGAAGAACGTTGAAAGTACAAACGTAACCGTTCAAGCGTCCGGTCTCCAACTTTGACACACGAACAACGCCGGAGTCTACCACAATCTTTATGCTAGTAAAGATTATAGTAGTATAAAATATAAAGATTAAAATTGGGATAATAATAATCTTGTATATTTCTATAGAAAATATTTCTAATAATATTTAGAAAATATTATAGATATTTTCTATACATAAAATGATATTCATGGAACCCCAAATAATCACTTTCTCTCTCTTAAAATGAATATCATAATCTTTTTTTCTCTTATCTTATGAAAGTGGCGTGGAGGAGCATTTAACAAATTCAAAGTTGTGTAATTAATTTGTCATTAGCTAAATGACAAAACAATTAGCCAACTCAAATTCCAATCAAAGAAAATTTCTCCTTTAAAATCTCTTTTGGCCGTAATCCTTATATCGATAGGTATTAGGGAGTATTAATATCTAGCATTATTAACACACGCAGTGCTACATTGTAAACATCATTGTTGTAAACTCTGTTATACATAAAGTGGCATCAATCATCTAAATGCTGTAAACACAAACAACCGAACAGAGTTAAGCTCTTAGGGAAAGCAAAACCAGACACACACGCGCTCGCGCAGAATGCTAAACATGAAAACATTTTGAGACTTCACCATACAGCAGGAGCAGGGGACGTTCATTTCGTAGCCTGGGCAATGATGTTGCTTATGGAGCTCGCTTGCTCTTTCGCAGCCTCCACCAGAGAATCCTGCAAGTTTAGCAACGAAAATGTAAAAACCCAAATTGCGAGCGTGATGAGTCTCATACATTACATAGTCTTGTAAGCATTAAGTAACACTGTTTATTACCTGAGCGGCAACCAGACGCGCAACAGTTTTCTTGCTTGATTCTTGGAGCTCACCAGCAATCAAAACTTCATCCAACACATAATATGCCTGCAAATATTGCAAGCCAGCATTGTGCAAACAAAAAAGACAGGAACTTTAAGCTAACAAAACTCAAATGACTGGATTTGCTGGCCCAGGACTGTGTGTTTAACAGCACTTGCTGTAGAGGCATACAGATTACAACCTCCTGCCATACCTTTGGGTGTGTCAAACACTTCTCAAGAGGTCCGATCATTCTTTTGACAGATGTTATAATCTTATTAATCCACGCTGGGTGGCTGTGCAGGGGAAGATATAAGATCTTGCCCAAATCTTAACAAGCCAGATGCAATCGCCGTCTTTAACTGATATAAATTAAATCTTTTGCCCAAGAAGAGCAATAGTAAATTGGAAAATTTGAATATGCTGCCAAGCAATCTCTATTATCCAACTATGGTGGCATATACAGAGTCTTTCATTTGAGAAACAGACACTGAGGCAAACCACATGAGTGTTCTGATAATCTTAAAGACTGCTCCCCCATTGTTAAAATAAAAAACAGAAGTCTTTTAACTTTGGAGATGAAAAAAAATAGAAGTTACCCGGTGTACAATAAAGAATCACAGTAACAGAATTTAGACGCCATACCTTGTGAAAGTTAAATATGAGATCCAGCTCACAGACCTAAATAAAGAGATTCACCAGTACGAAATTCAAAACATGAGATAGACAGATAGCAGGTTGGTCAATGCAAAGTATGTATCTCACTAGAGCTGAAAAAAAAAAGAATCTCACTCACACTTCCAAAGTATCTGTCTAATATCTCAACAAAATGATGAATGATCTCCAACGTCTCCAATTCATTATCATCTTGGTCAATGCACATGCAGAAATAAAGACTGGCATATCTGTGAAACAACAGTCCGGAAGAAAACACTTGTAATTGTTAATCTGATAACCCCTAGGGGGAGGGGAGTGGGTGGGGGATTCTTGTAGTCTGAGGTAGGAAAGGACAAAAAACTACCAACAAGGAAGGCTCTAATAAAACATGTGGGAGAAATGCACCTTTTATAGACCACTCTGAATCCTTTCCATTCTACAAAATTGCAAAGCTTTGGCCCTCGTGTTAGTATCAATCCGCTTAGTTCACGGATCACCTTTGAATGAAATTTCACCCAAATACAAATGTCATAAACACAATGGAAACATACTGTTGAACTTGCACTAAAACACACATATTCCCATATTTTAGAAGGAAAAAAAAACTCAGATATATTCAGGTTTGTCGGATTATTTGCAGTATAGAAGTTTCGAAGGAAAGAGCCATATTCCTAGTATTTCCTACCAAAAAGCCATAGAGCATAAAAGCACATTCCTGACCTCCAAAACAAAGATGACTAGAACATAACTACAAAGGATATAATACTCAAACATCCCCTAAACAATAGGAAAGGGTATGCCTGAGACTGTGATCTTCCCTTCTTCAGATGAAAACAAAAGCCCATAAAATTGATGTTTTGAATAAGAATTCAAAAAAGAGCACAGACAAGCAGACAGATATATAGATCCATTTANGACATCTGAAGATCGATGTGAAAACTGGATCGCAGGGGGAATGGATTTACCATTTTTTTGGGTCGTTAGAGAGGTTGAGAATCTTCCTTTCTGTTGAGATGGCTGTGAAGAATGTGTATCTGCAATACAGAGCATATGAAAAAGCACATTTTGGTAGTGAGGACTGAGGATAATGCTGGTTGTTGGAAAAAAATAATATACTCCATCCAGCCCAAATCCTTTTTCTTCAACACCCCAAACAAAAGCAGCAACAAACGCAAATAAAATACAAACATTTTAATTAAAAAAACAGGCCAACAGAGATTAAGGAGATTAAGGAGAATATTAAAAACGCTTAGTTAGAAGTGACTTTTAAGTCTGGTTTCCATTGATCAAACTAGTAGCAATGAGCTTGTAGGGAAGTAACATTCACACCCCAAGGACTCAAGTCACTCAACAAAGGTAATCTAAAAGGCTTTATGAAAATTAAAGATATCTTGTTAATATGCCTTGTTAATAGATCTTTTTGACATTGATGATGGGTAGTCTGCTCATACTATAGTATACACATATAACTATATACATAAAACCACATACATATACAAATATATAAACACACACACATACCTGTTTGTGTTTCATCTTGAATCTAGAAAACTTTATTGCTTATTGAATATGTACGCAAAGGTCTAAAGAGAAATCATCAAGGGGTAGAGGGAGTACTGGAGTTGTGATTAATACAAGTTCAAGGCCGGTTAATTTATGATTGAAATACTACATCTTATTTTATTTAAAAAACATGCCTCATAGTGGAGAACAAAAGCCATCATCAAACTGCCTCATCAGAAAGAGGAAAGAAGATAAAATTGTAGATTGTACTTCTAACTGATGTTACTGCCATCCCTCATTAATTAAGAAACACAAGTACAGGCAGACAACAACAATGTAGAATTGCAGTAGTAACTCTACTACTCCAGTAAAGGAAGCTCATTAACCTTGGCAACCCAAACATCTTAACAGCTTCCGGCCTCTGGTCTATTACAGTTAATTAAGCCCCAGTCTTCTCCATATTTTGGATCTGTCTTGTGTGCCTATTTATATAGAGGTAAGGCACAAAATAGAGGTAGGGCACTCTGAACTGCCAAACACTCTTCGTGAAAATGTTTGCCTAATTAAATAGGAACAAACAATAAATTGAATTGACTCAAGTTTAACATTGCAAATACACTTCTACCACTAAGAATGGCCAAGAAATCTGCTCCTAAAATAGCATAGTAAGTATGGTTTACTCCTAAAGTCAAGGTTTAGGCAGTATCTCACATTGCCCGGCTCAAGGTCTTCAGGTGTGAGCTTCATACTACTCTCACCACAAAGAATGAACCATCTATCATCAAACTGATCAAATAACATCAATGGGCTACTAGCTAGAAAGCAAAGTGACTAGACCTCACCTAAATTTCTCTTCTTATATGAAACGAAAAATCACTATTTTGGGCCATCAATTATGTAGTGATGTTTCTCATTTTGAATAGAAGTCACTCAATACTTCAAATTAGCCTTTTTTAATTTTTTTCAATTTCATAGGTTGTGTCAATCAAATAGGTTCTTACAGGAGATTCGACATAGAAACAATTGAGAGAGCAAATTCACAGTAAACGTAAAGAAATTAGAGCGTCCCTAACCTTAATTTTATGAGAGTTTGTAGCCTAGGGGATCTGAGATGCTGACAGGCGCTCCCTCTCGAGATCGTCCGGCCAGAGATAGGCGTTTCTCACAAGGGCGTCGATTACAATCGTTAGCGAGAAGAGACGACCTAAAAATAGGGCGGCGGTGATGGAATCGATCGCTGGAAAGCGTCTGTGGCGGAGGGAGGCGTCGTCTGTAACCCAGCAAAAGTAATTTGGGATCGATCGGCTGAAGTTTTAATAGGCCGTAAATTATATTTTACTCCGTACTAAAAATCAACAATAGCGGATATGTTGTTATCCGCTGGGTAAAAAAACCCTTCACGAAAAAATTACTCCCTCCGTCCTATAATGATCTTTCTGGTTCGCAAAAGCGAAGAAAAATCCCAAGTTTTCTCAATCTATTTTATTTAAATATTAGTATAGAAATAAAAAATAAAACATACATATTTAAAAACTACACCAAAAGTTCAACAAAACAAGTGGTGACAAAAATATTTTATTTTATCATATAGGCCATGAAAAAACACAAATAAATATAAATTATCGTGAAGTTGGAATAGTGCTCTGGGAAGATCATTATAGGACGGAGGGTGTAGGTGCTCGGTTCTTTGTGTGTGCGCACGCCTTATTTACCCTGAAGGAAAAAACAGCGGTTTTCAATTATCCGCTGTCTAAAATGCGCTATTAAATACACATTCTGTAGTAGTGGATGTGAGGCCTTTGGTAAAGATGTCGGCATATTGGGAAGAAGAGGGAACATGGAGAACACGGACTTGTCCTAGTTCAACTTTGTCCCTGACAAAGTGTGTGTCAACCTCTACGTGTTTAATGCGTTGGTGCTGAACAGGGTTGGACGATAGGTACACGGCGCTAACGTTATCACAGAAGACTAGTGTGGTACGGCGCAGAGGTTGCTGTAACTCAAGAAGAAGGTTCTGGACCCAACTTTCCTCAGCCATGGCGTTTGCAACCGCTCGATACTCAGCCTGAGCACTCGAACGGGATGTAGTGGCTTGTTTCTTGGAGGACCAAGAGATGAGGTTGTCGCAAAGGAAAACACAGTAACCGCAGGTAGAGCGACGAGTGTCTAGACACCCTGCCCAATCAACATCAGAGTAGGCCTGTAAAGAATCTGTACGGATGTGATGGAGAGTGATCCCATGAGTAGTAGTGTCGTGAAGGTAGCGGAGGACATGCTTCATGGTAGTGAGATGAGTGCTACAGGGGCATGAACGTGGAGACACAACTGCTGTATGGCATAGGTGAGATCAGGACGTGTGAATGTGAGATAGTGCAAGGTTCCAACGATGGACCTGTATAAGGTGGGTTCGGAAAGAGGTGTGCCGGAGGAGGCCCCGAGTTTTGCCTTTGTATCAACAGGGGTGGAGATGGGCTTGCAATTGAGCAGGTCTACCCGTTCCAAGATCTCGTGAGCAAACTGATTCTGATGAAGAAAGAGCCCACCTGTAGTATGCTAAACATTGATCCCGAGGAAAAAATTAAGGCCACTCATGTAACGCCACAAAATATGGCCTAAAATTTATTATAAAACAAAAGTAAATTCTGTCCAATAAGAAATATTAATACGTTTGACCAAAAATAAATGGATTTTCAAAATAATTACTTTTTGTTAAAAAGTTATTTTTATGGATATGTCTCGAAGAGACGAATCCAACAGTAAATTTTATGAACCAATCTGATTTATAGATTTCAAGTTATGTCAATTTTAAATATTAAAATTTGTAACTCTGACCCATAAAATAAACTCAATTCAAAAGTGATTTCATAAGATTAGAAATCATAATTTTGACCCTTGACAACATCATATTAATCATTTGGATTTAATTCATATATTTTTATCTGATTCATATTATTAAATTAATTTATGACTGAGACAGATCTGAACACTGAGAAAAATAAAAGTTCTCAGAAAAATATTTTGACTACATCGAAATTCTAGTTTTGACAGTCTCATTCCAAATACGCAATCCATTTTCAATTCGGAGCAGTTTGGGCGAAAAAGCGCGCACCGTTTGGAGTAAACGGTTCAGTTTTGGCAAGAAGCCAAAACTTTATTTTCCAAATCTCTCCCAAATCACGTAGCTTACCTTTGTGATGCTCACAATCCTAATTTCAACTCTCCACTAATACAACACTCCAAATAATTATATAATACTTCCAAAACTACACCATACACCACCATTCAACATCATCCACCATATCCATCATCAACACCATCCATCCATCTCCTATCAACTCTCTCTCTCTCTCTCTCTCTCTCTCTCTCTCTCTCTCTCGTATGAACTAGAAAGCCAGCAAGCAAGGAAGAAAACACAAAATACTCCATTATTTTATGCTAAGGAAGAAGAAGGAGAAGCAAGAAAACCATCCATAGTTTCCAAATCATGAGTCCCAAACGCAGCATCAACTTCTACAAAAGTTCTGAAATTTTCTATCCATATTCTCGAAATACTTCCTGAACCAAAGTTGTAGCCCCGGACGATAAGAATCCAGCCCAACAAACGGCTCGCGATTTCGTTTAGTAACGAAGGAGATATGGCCAAAATACCGGGACTGCGCCAGTGGTGGCGATCTCCTCGGGATTGGCTATGTTTCCTCACCAAATTCATATCATTTCATCCCAAATACTTACCATAAACTTTTTAACAATTATTAGGAACATCCGGAAGGTATCGTAGAGAAAGCTCGGCGTTGGAACGTTGAAGTTAGTGAGTTAATCGTCGGAATCATGTTCATCGACATACCTGAAATTCTGGACAGCAACTATCCCTTGACTTCAGGTCCGATTTACGCTATCTTACATATGTTATAACAAAATACTTTCTATACGAAAGTTGTAACCTTACATCTTAGGAATCCTCAGAATAACACGGTTTGCAATTCCGTGAAGAAACGATGTAGATATGCCAAAATTACCGCAGGCTATCCAGTTGTGACGGGAATGACAAAGTTGGTGAATTTCGATGTTGTTTCCACTCCCGCTCATCCGTAAGGTTACGGCCGATGATTTCCAGGTCTGTACCTTTGCGTTAGACTTTTCAAATCATTCATCACATACGTACATGAACATATATATTAATCCATATGTTGAAATCATCCCAAAATATATATGTGACGCATATATAAGTTATCTATATGTTGAGATTAAAATACACCAAATCCATAAAGTTAATATACACATAAGTAGGTATAAACTTTGGAAATCAACCCAACAATATGTATATGTTAATCAAAGGTGTTTAAAAGACTTAAAGACGTATTTTGGACACTCAAAATATCAAGAGAAAGATTCGCAGACCCAAACGGTCGACGCAAACGGTCGACCGTCGCGTTAAACTTCGAGACGAACTAGGACTGTCACCCAAACGGTCGACCGCCGACGGCTGACGGTCGACCGCCGCCGCCCAGCTGAGGACCGCCGTACCAGTCAGTCAACAACGGTTGACCGCCGGTCAACCGTCACGGTGATCCGAGATTGACGAAATGATTTTAAGCACGGTCGACCGCCGTGCTAAACGGTCGACCGTTCCGAGCCCCGTAGCTTATTTAACTGATATTTTAATCATGTTTTACCCAAATAAATTAATGTATGATTACATATTCAAAATGTTCACATCATATCAGTCATTTCATCATTTATATTGAAGCATATCACATCATGTGCATGCGTAAGAGATCATGCGTAGTGCGTCTCTTATAGCGTGATTGTGCGGGACTTAGTAGGCCGACATCACAAGTTCGGGCTTAGTGTACGTACATGGTTTTCAGGTCTCTGGGTACCACCCCTATTTTTCTAGTCTCACCTCATTCGTGAGACTAAGGCCGCGTGAGTTCGTCGTACCAAATGGGCGAATCTCATAGCGCAAGGGTGTCCTTGCAAGTTATAGGATCATACATCATGTTATCATCAAGAACAATTACATTGATTACATAGGTGTCATGTAATCATCATCAAGCGAAAGTATATTGATTACATAGGTATCATGTAATCGTCCTCACAAGCAAATTGATTAAATGTTCCATCATGGAATTATCATTAAATATTTATCATCATGATTCATCAAATTGACCATATGATAATATGTGCCATATCATGAATGTTACTATACATTTTGTGGACGTATATATATGTATATGTATATGTCTTTGAATTATTCTACAATTCTAGCGTGGTACCACTCAGCGGTTTCGCTGAGCGTGTAGTTTGTATTTTTCGTTGACTACACGTAGGTAACCAGAAGACAATGATGGAACCTTTCCCGGAGGGCATTGAGTCAGAAGAGATGCAAGGATGTCAGGCAATGTTTGGTTAACAGATTTTAAAATGTGTCATGATTTGATTATTATTGTACTTCCGCATTACTCTGAAATTATTTTTAAATGGGTCGCGATCCAGAGTCTGTAAATTTAATATTTTTAAGTAATTGTCATTTTCAAATGTCAAGTGAAATTTTTATTTAACTCACGTTTCACCTTAATTCGCGTAATTCCGGGTTATACGGATTGGGGTGTTACATTTTGGTATCAGAGAAAAACGATTTTCGGATCATTGAGTCAATATTCTCAAAGTCCTGCATCCGCATCCTCCACGACCTCTCTGCCCCGAGAAGGTAATCAACAAGTGACTAACTATGGCATAACACACATGCTTAACTCATTGAAAATTTGCTTCCTTTGAGTTGCTAGTATCCTCATAGACTCGATTACAACAAAGTTTAGATTGCCTCGAAATGTTCTTCGGCGATCACAGTCGACATCAGAAGATCAAGAAAAGGACTGTAAACTCGACAAGCGCGACATATACGTATGTCATAGTACACAAATGGCTAAGTGAATAATGTGAGTCAACTTCCCTCTACCCGAAGGATACGTTGAAGAAAGAACTTTCTCCAATAGGAAGTGAACGAATTCTCCAAAAGGTAAATCTGTCGTTTTCTAAAAGCATGAATAGAACCTCACAAACCAGATCGAATACGACATATGTATCGAATCTGAAACACCTTCTAGGAGTGAATCTACATACAAACATTAAGATAACTGACTCGTTCGTATACCCTATTCACGTGAAAGGTCGCAACAAGATGACAGTACAAAACAAGATGTGAAACTGTCACATCAATAGAGAAAGACTCGAAGATAAAGAAAAGGATGAATATTTACATGGTACATATTGATGGAAATAAATACTCTTCTGAAATGCACTGGTCATGCAGCTTAGAACGATATTTATGACCAACACATATTGTACATGGACAATATTATTTCAACACTGGAAATATTACAGTTGCAACTCTAAGTCTAATCTTCTAGGATTTGCAAACTCTTCATAACTGGCACCAGGACCCAGGAAAGCATTAGCAAACTCTAGCTTGTCCAAAAGCTCATCAACAAAGAAAGAAGAAATGAACAGTTTTCTCTGATTCAAAGCCATGAAGTTCTGCCTCACCGCATCATCTAGAAACTTGATTAGGTTATTGAAATAACCGTCAATGTTCAAAAGACCAATGGGTTTACTGTGTAACCCTTCTTATGCCCATGAGATCAAAGTGAATAAACCTTCCATAGTGTCAATCCCTCCAGGAAGTACAATGAAGGCTTCCACAATATGATTCATCTCGAAATACTTATAGTAATTGCTGGAGACGGTGTACTCCGCACCATATGTTGGTCCACAGACCCCTCGTGTTGCTATATACCCTGGTATGAAACCTCTGACTCTACCACCATTATTTTAGACTGTTGAAGCTACAGCTCCTTGAAGGCCAACGTTGCCTCCTCCGTAGGTAAGTCTGATTTTTCGCCTTACCATTTCCCGTCCTAGATCAACCGTTGTAGCCATGAACCCTGGATTGCTACCAAGAGCATGACTACCAAGTAGACCAACGAATCTTATGGTATTAGAAAGAGCTCGAGAAGTTCCTTCCATTAATCACTTCATTAAGGAAATTTCGGGGACGGAATTTCTTTAAGGGGGAAGAAATGTAACGCCACAAAATATGGCCTAAAATATATTATAAAACAAAAGTAAATTCTGTCCAATAAGAAATATTAATACGTTTGACCAAAACTAAATGGATTTTCAAAATAATGACTTTTTGTTAAAAAGTTATTTTTATGGATATGTCTCGAAGAGACGAATCCAACAGTACATTTTATGAACCAATCTGATTTATAGATTTCAAGTTATGTCAATTTTATGATCCAACAGTACATTTTATGATCCAGCTCACAGACCTAAATAAAGAGATTCACCAGTACGAAATTCAAAACATGAGATAGACAGATAGCAGGTTGGTCAATGCAAAGTATGTATCTCACTAGAGCTGAAAAAAAAAGAATCTCACTCACACTTCCAAAGTATCTGTCTAATATCTCAACAAAATGATGAATGATCTCCAACGTCTCCAATTCATTATCATCTTGGTCAATGCACATGCAGAAATAAAGACTGGCATATCTGTGAAACAACAGTCCGGAAGAAAACACTTGTAATTGTTAATCTGATAACCCCTAGGGGGAGGGGAGTGGGTGGGGGATTCTTGTAGTCTGAGGTAGGAAAGGACAAAAAACTACCAACAAGGAAGGCTCTAATAAAACATGTGGGAGAAATGCACCTTTTATAGACCACTCTGAATCCTTTCCATTCTACAAAATTGCAAAGCTTTGGCCCTCGTGTTAGTATCAATCCGCTTAGTTCACGGATCACCTTTGAATGAAATTTCACCCAAATACAAATGTCATAAACACAATGGAAACATANGTATAGAAGTTTCGAAGGAAAGAGCCATATTCCTAGTATTTCCTACCAAAAAGCCATAGAGCATAAAAGCACATTCCTGACCTCCAAAACAAAGATGACTAGAACATAACTACAAAGGATATAATACTCAAACATCCCCTAAACAATAGGAAAGGGTATGCCTGAGACTGTGATCTTCCCTTCTTCAGATGAAAACAAAAGCCCATAAAATTGATGTTTTGAATAAGAATTCAAAAAAGAGCACAGACAAGCAGACAGATATATAGATCCATTTAAGAAAAACTACAACCCTAGGCTTGTACCTTAGCTCTCTCTTTCTGAGAATATGGGGAATACCATTTTGTCAGCCTAACTTTTCCCTGTCGGCTAATTAGAAGCACAAAGTGGATCTGGACCAACATCAAATTTAATCAGTTAGCTTCATTACACAAGTTCTGATTGAAAAGAAACAGACATCTGAAGATCGATGTGAAAACTGGATCGCAGGGGGAATGGATTTACCATTTTTTTGGGTCGTTAGAGAGGTTGAGAATCTTCCTTTCTGTTGAGATGGTTGTGAAGAATGTGTATCTGCAATACAGAGCATATGAAAAAGCACATTTTGGTAGTGAGGACTGAGGATAATGCTGGTTGAGGCCCCGAGTTTTGCCTTTGTATCAATAGGGGTGGAGATGGGCTTGCAGTTGAGCAGGTCTACCCGTTTCAAGATCTCGTGAGCAAACTGAGTCTAATGAAGAAAGAGCCCACCTGTAGTATGCTAAACATTGATCCCGAGGAAAAAATTAAGGCCACTTATATCTGTCATAGAAAACTCCCCCTTGAGCTGTTGGGTGAGGCATTGGAGTAAAGGGGATGAGGAGGCGGTGAGAACAATGTCATCCACATAGAGCAACAGATATGCCATGTCATTCTCACGAGTGTAGACAAATAGAGATGTATCGCTCTTACAGCCATTGAAATTCAATGTAAGGAGGAAGCATGCAAATCCGTGATACCAAGAACGGGGAGTTTTCTTAAGGCCATATAATGCCTTTTTCAGCTGATACACATAATGGGGCCGCGTGGGATCTTGGAAGCAAGTCGAATGGTTGACTCACATTGACTATCTCCTGAAGTGTGTCGTGAAGGAAAGCATTCTTCACATCCAACTAATGAATCGGCCATCCTCGTGAAAGGGAAAGGCTGAGGACAATACGAACTGTGGCAGGTTTGATAACCGGACTGAAAGTCTCCTCATAGTCGATTCCGAAGCGCTGATTGAATCCACGGACCACCCACTAAGCTTTTTACATGGACAGATCACCTATAAGACCAAATTTGTGGCGAAAGAGTCATTTACCAGTGATAACATTTTGTGTGGGGGAGGGGGTACAAGTTCGCATGTATCGTTTTTAATCAAAGCATTAAATTTATCGCACATAGCATCATACCAGTTTTGGTCCTTAAGAGCACTACGATAGGTAGGGGGTAGTTGGGAGATTTAAGCTGTGGTGTTGAGATCTAAGATGTGTTTGTGATGGGTTATGCCCACTTTGGATTGGGTTACCATGGGATGGTTGAGTATTCTACCGTGGGATGTAGGTGGGAGGTCGGGGGAAGGGATGGCAGAGGGTTGGGCTCTGGTTTCGGGTTGGCCGTGGGTGGGCCGTAGGGGGGGAAAGTGTGTCGTTGGGGGTTGAGTTGGTTGGGCCATGGGTTGGTGGGGATTTGGGTGGGCTGTGGGTGAGGTGGATTAGGAAATGGGTTTGGTCGTGTTTGTGGAGGGGTGGTTTTGGAGGTGGTAGGGAGTTGTGTCGTCCTCCGTGGAGTCAAGGAAAGCTAATTCTGTAGGACTGGACTGGAGGAATGACTATAGGGGTTGGTATGTTCATCAAACATGAAATGACAAGAGACAATGACCTTGTTAGTTTGGAGATCAAGGCACCAGTAACCACGTTGGTTAGACGAGTACCCGAGGAAAACACACCGAGTCGAGTGAGGTGCGATTTTATGAGGAGCAGTGTCGGAGATGTTTGGGTAGCAGAGGCCACCGAATACTCGAAGGTGGGAGTAAGTGGGGGGTGGCCATAAAAGACTTCGTGCGGAGTGCAGAAGTTAAGGGTGGTGGTGCGGAAGATATTGATCGAAAAGGTGTGTAGCCATCTAGAGGGCCTCGACCCTGAATGTAGTAGGGAGGTTAGCTTGAAAAAGAAGAGAGAAGACAGTGTTGTTTATGGTGCGGATGGTGCGTTCAGCACGACCGCTTTGTTGGCTAATATGGGGAAAAGAAAAATGAAAAGTGATGCCAAGACCTTCGAAGATAGTCTTGAGAGGGGAGTTTCGGTATTCGGTGCTGTTGTCACACTGAACGTCTTTAATTATGGTGTTGAACTAATTTTTCACATAAGCAATGAAAGTTTTAAGGTGAGAACACACGTCAGATTTATGTCTCAAGGGAAAAATCCATAAATAATGAGAATAATCATCCAACAATAACATATAATGCTTAAAGCCTGTAACACTGGGAATGAGAGATTGCCACATATCAGTATGTAGAAGTTTAAAGAGAAAAATAGAAATGCGACTCGACGACATAAATGAGAGGTGAACATGCTTTTCCAATTGACACGCATGACACAGTGATTTTAAAATTGTTTATTAAGACAATGTGATAAGCTGGGGACTCCACGAAGAACAGTATGGCTTGGGTGGCCAAGATGTCGGTGCTAGAGTTCTATATCAGCGGTGGTAACATGAGCTTGGGCCTGGGTAGTTGGTGGGCTCATGGGGTAGAGTGGATCGACATCATTAGACCGATGAATCACGGACCCTGTCTGCATATCCTTCATAGAAAAACAAGTTGGGTCAAGTTCAACGGTACAATTATTGTCACGGGTGAATTGTCTAACAGAGATAAGGTTGTGGATGATGTGTGGGAATACAAGATTATTATATAGGAACAGGAGGGGGAGGTGGGAACGTGATAATTACCGGTGGCCGTAGTGTTAACTTTAGAAGCATTACCAACACTGATGTATGAAGATGAATTTAAAGAATGAGAACGAACATGAGAAAGTGTACCTTGATCTCAGGCTATGTGATGAGATGCGCCCATGTGCATGTACCAGGTGGGGTCATAGAGGCTAAGGGTGTCAAAGTTGTGAACAAGGGCAGTGTGTGTGTGTTGGAAGG